TTCTGTTGTCTCCCTTCCTCATTCTCGGCTGATGACCTTCCATCTTATTTCACTGAGAAAAAAGCAGCATTCTGAAAAACAGCACACAAGCTCTCACTACCATACCACCTTCTTACCTTCATCTGTGCCTATATGACGTGCCTACCCCTAATTACTATGGTCAAAGTGTTCATGCTCTTGTTTTTTTCACTAGATCCCTTTCCTTCTTGCCTAAGATATCTCACTAGCAATCCTACTTCTTTCTTGTTCCATCAACTTCTCATTATCTTGCCTCATTTCCCTTAGCATGCAATTATTTCTCCCATCTTAAAAACGGGAACCCTCTTCCCCTCCCTCTACCATACCATATTTCTGCTCCCCTTCACAGCAAAATTGCTCAGATTACCACACTCATGGTCTCAGTTCAGCTTCTCCCATTCTCTTGCATCCATTCCAGTGAGGCTTTTGCCTCCACCCACCCTCCACAGAAATTGCTGCCAAGGTCACCATAACCTCCACATTGCTAAATCAAGTGGCTAGTTCCTAGTCATTTTTTAGGCACTGTTGCTTATCTTCTTGAAATACTTTATTCATTAAGTGATCAGGCCATCACACCTCCTGGTTTTCTTCCTCCAGCTATTCCTTCTCAGTCTCCTTAACTGGTTCCTCATTTCCGTGACTTCTAAATGTGCGGTGTTGAGAAGATCATCTTTAAAAGAAAAGACTATCTTCACTAACCCCTTTGTTGCTCTTTCAATCTCATGGTTTTACATACCATCTGTACACTGTCAGCTTCAAATCTGTATTACTTGCCCCACCTTTCTTCTAAATTCTTGATTCAATACCATTACTGAAACCAAGCTCCAAGTTCCTCATCTCCTTCTTTCCCCAAACCTACTTCTTTTGCAGCTTTCCCCATCTTAGTAAATGACAACTCCAACCTTCTAACTGCTCAGGCCAAAACCCTTGGAGTCATCCTCAACTCTTTCTTTTTTCTTTTCTTTTTTTTGCTGCTTCTTTTTTTTTTCTTCCCTCCAAGCACAAGAAAGTGTGATTGTCATCCTCAACTCTTTATCTCACACCTACATCTAATTCATCTATTATACCTCTCAGCTACACCTTCAAAAATATCCAGTATCTGAGTACCTCTCAAACTCCACCACTACCACACTGATCCAAGCCACCATCGTCTCCAGTATGAACTTTTGCAACAACCTGGTCTTCCTGTTCTCCCCCTTTCCATTCCGTAGTCTATTCTCAATACAATAGCCAAAGTGTTTAAGACTTATTAATCAGAGTATGTCACTCTTCTGCCCCTAAAGCTCCAAAGCCTTCTCATCTCATTCTGATTTACCGCCAAATTCTTAATGGCCCAGATGTCCCCACATTATGTGGCTCCCTGAACTTCCTTTCTGTCCTCCTCTATTACTCTTTCCCTTGGGCATGTCCCTCCAGACATACCGTCCTCCTTACAGTTCCTCCCACTGGGAACACACCTCCTGTGCCTAGAATGTTTTTCCCCGTGCCTAGAATGCTCTTTCCCCATTGCCTCAAATATAGTATTCACCTAATAAAAAAACAGGTAAATGAATTTAGACACACATTGAACATTCATTTGCTATCTGCCTACTTTAACTATTATTAATGCATAAACATTTTCTCACATTGTCAGAATACTTCAAGACCATAATTTTTAGGGCTAATAATATTCCATTTTATACGCATACCTCAAATTATTTACAATTTGAAACCAAAAAACCAGGATATTTACGAATGGGATATTTTGGATGTTTCGTCAATATTTCTGAACTTCAGTAGTTTCACTTCTAAAAATGAGGATATGTACCTCACAGGATTGTTGTAAAGGCTGAATATGAACTAATAAGTAGACACAAAGTCATCAGGTTTGTTACCACTGCTTAGATTACAGAGGCATCATGGTATCAATGAAAGATCATAGACCTTGAAAGCAACAGATTAAAATGTGACTCACAATATTGTCCTTTAATAGCTTAAGACACTTAACATCTATCAGATTCAATTAAAACATTTATTTGAAAAAGCGATTATATTAATAATAAAGAGATGTAAAGAGTTTAGCATAATAGAGTACATCATCAATAAATGTTCATTCATTCACTTCTCATAAACAATATCTAGGATTTTTAAAATTGCAAATCAGAAAAATATTTTCATAAATTTTCCTGTTAAACATATTTTTAGATAATAAAAATTTTCAATACAGAATTATCCTTTTTATTAACAATTATTCAACACTTACCAAAGCACACTTGAGGTTATAAAAATCTCTAAATCAATTTTGTTTCTATTATAATAAAAATAGGCAAAACAATTATTTTTAATTACTGAACAATGGTATTAATAATAAGTTCCTCTTTATCATGTGCTTTACTGTATATACACAACAGGTTACTACACTATTAAAATGACAAGTTAAGCAAGAAAATATTTTAAAAATTTGCCTCACTTCACGGCTGTTTCTTGAAGCAATCCATGAGTTGAAGTCAGATGAATGCCAAGACATTACACAATTTTCAATGCTTTTCCATGTTATTTAGATACAAGTTTGAGTATATGCAATTGGAATGGTCAACAAGTACAATTTGAGCTCCTTCAGAATATAGTCATCTCTTCCTGGTCAGGACTTAGCCCAGTGCCTGACGTATAAAAAGTACTGGATCAGCACTGAGTAAGTAGGTGGGTGGGTGGGTGGGTGGCTAAGTGACTGATTAAGTATGGTAGTCATTAGCGCTGTCTCTCTGTCTAGGCACTACAAAGCCAATACTTTTTGTCTCCCTATCCTGTGATTGGGTACAGTCCTTTAACCAGTTCTGGCTAAGGAACTCTGAGAGGAAGTGACATAAGTAATTTCCATTTTGGAGCATTTATATGAGACCTTCCATGTTCTTTTTCCACAGATAAGTGATTATGAAAGGATACGCTAAAAAGGAAAACCCATCAACCACTCAGTATCTGAGTAAACATAATGAGCACAGCTCCCTGCTCATTAAATTGGAAGTTTATGACAGTAAGAGTCATACATTTTGTTAGGTTAAGTGACTAAAATTCATAAATTTTACTACAGCAGCAAAACCTAACCTATCCTGGATAAGCAAGTTAATGACATTCATTTCAGAACTAGAAATTTATCAGAGTTTAATTTTAAAAAAACCAAAATGGTACAGATAAGCACTATAGCTCAGCATAATAATTTAACCTCCCTGTATGATAGTTCTCTTGCTTGCCAAGTTTGATGGCTCATGCCTGTAATCCTAGCACTTTGGGCGACCACGGCAGGAGGATTGTGTGAGAACAAGAGTTCAAGACCAGCCTGGGCAACATAATGAGATCCCATCTGTACAAAAAGATTATAAAAATTAGCCAGGCATTGTGATGCACACTTGTAGTCCCAGCTACCCAGGAGGTTGACGTGGGAGGATCACTTGAGCCCAGAGGTTCAACGTTTTCGTGAGCTATGATCACACCACTGCACTCCAGCCTGGGTGACAGAGCAAGATCCTATCTAAAAACAAACAAAAAAGATAGTTCTCTTGCCTACAAAATGGAATAATAGCATCTACCTCACAGGTCAGTAATAGGGATCAAATAAATGAATGTCTATTCGTACTTAGGATAATATTTAGGGTATTTGAAGCTTTAAATAAATGGTAGTATATTATTATTAATAATGCATTAGACACATTTACATTATATATGTCATTTTACTCTCATCTCTTACTCCCTATTCATTTTAATTTATGGTCAATTTTTTCAATTTAAAATATCTTTATTAAGAAGTACCATATCCTCTCAGAACCACAAGGAAAAAAAAAAAAAAAAAACTAAGTACCATGCAAAGTACTAGAAATGAAGATAAATAAGATCTACCATCGAGGTATTTTTTTCCATACCTATGATTCTCCTTTCTTCTCCAATAGACCCACAACCAAACAAACTTTCAAATCACAAACACAATGTTCTATTATATTATAATATATATCAACTATGCAATGTTATAAATATTGTATCAATTGAAGAGGTGATTACTTTTTAATTTAAAAACACTTTATATGTTATGGGTCTGTGTCTTATTCAAAGTCAAGATGGAAAAGTTGTTTAGGTCCAATTCACCAAAGGCAATTAATGTTATGGCAAAAAACAGAACTTGTACCCACAGTCCCACTGCTCCTAATGCAGTGCCCTGTAAACAGGAAGTACTCTGTGAACAGAATTATAGGTGTATCAGAGATCAGTAGATCCAATCCATCTATGTTACAAATTAGAACAATTATCTAGAGGGTTAAGCAACTTGCCCAAGAGTATGATGTGAGTTAGTGGCAGGGCTGATCCAAGAACCCAAACTCTGAAAATGTTTTAAAAGTCTAAATTCTCTTTTTTTTTTTTTTTAAAGACATGCTGGTCAGGCTGGTCTTGAACTCCCGACCTCAGGTGATCTGCCCGCCTTGGCCTCTAAAGTGCTTGGATTACAGGCGTGAGTCACCACGCCCAGCCAAAAGTCTAAATTCTCTAAAGCGCAAAGTCCCTGCAATATGCTGACACAGGAATATAAACAAGACAGTGAAAAACCTAAAGTTAATTTTTATTGAAATTAGATTTTAACATTAGCTAGTAAGAAATTAAAAACTCGGCCATCAGAAAGACAGTGTTAGATTTACTATTATTCTAAAGAGAAGGTACTTTCAAAAACCTAAAAGCGTAAATTTATTACCATATTTCCCCCAACACTTTATCAACATTTAAAATATTGTAGAAAGTAAAATAGAAAGTTTCATATGTTTCTTTTTATATACAGAATCTTGTGTGAAAAGAATAATTTCAAGCAAGAAAAAAGGTTAATTCCTATGCCACAAGTTTATTAAAGTATTGATATTAATCTTACTGATTTTTTAAAAAGTGAAGGGGTTAATTTAAGCCACATACATTAGGAAACTGCAAGATAAAAATGTTTTTTGGGTTTTTAAAAAATATTTAATTTATAAAAAAATATGGAACGCTTCACAAATTTTTGTATCATCCTTACGCACAGGCCATGTTAATCCTCTTTATATCGTTCCAATTTTAGTATAAGTGCTGCCTAAGCGAGCATGATAAAAATGTTTATCATTTATTGTTTACTAAGTGTAACGCACTGTGCTAAATAAGCACTTTACACATATCACCTCTTTTTACAACAAACTTACGGGATAGGTAATACAATTATCCCAATTTTGCTCATTATGAAAATAGGGGCTGTCTCTGAGTAACTTACTCAGGTAGTGGCAGAAATAGAATTTTCTCTCAAATCTGTTTGCCTCTAAAAGATACTCTTTGGGGTCTGCTGTTGTTTTTTATTTTTTGTAGAGACAGCGTCTCACTATGTTGCCCAGGCCTCTAGCTCCTGGGCTCAAGTGAACCTCCTGTCCTCTCAAAATGCTAGGAGCCACCACACCCGTAACTAAAAGCTATGCCTTTAACCACCATCCTATTCAAGCTCTATCAAGTTGCTGACCCTCTTTTAGATCAAGGTCAATCCATCACATCTAAGGGGGAGGCTACATAATCTCTAAGGCCCCTTCTAAAAATGATTGTGTCACGAAACACAGAAATCAGTTCTGAATTTATATAATATTTCTAACAGGATACTCCAGGCCTAAGGGGAAGGCCATCAGTAAATGAACAGATAAGAAGAGAAAGGGGAAGAAAAATTTAAAGGAGGAGGAGAAAGATCATTATCATCATGCCCTTCCAAGGGACCTAACATAGCTAGACATAACATTTTACCAGACATCAGGGCTTCTGTGACAAAAGTGGTCAAGGGGAACCTAGAACACGAATTGAAAGCAGAACTATAAAGGATGTACATAGATTTAAATATAGCTTAGCCTACTGATGTGATTCCCCTCACAGCAGATGAGGAAGGAGCTGTAGGAAGGCCTTGCAGGAGTCAGTGACTATGAGCTCAATGCTGGGCTAAAACACAGACTTCTAACAGAAACAACGATCAGCAGTTAAATAGGAATAGTGAGGTACTAAATTTTCAGAGGAGGCATTACCACTACTGTCATACATTTGGATGAGAGTGAATTTTCAGGACAGAGTTGTGAAGGAACTAGCATTTGTTCCATTAAGTTGTTTAAAGTCCTAGCATGTTCTAGGCACCATCCATGTGGCTTTCATGTGTTGCCACACTGAACTCTGACAACAACCTTGGTGGATGTGATGATTAATTTTATGTGCCGACTTTATAGGCCATGGTACCCAGCTATTTGGTCAAACATCATTCTAGATGTTTTGTGAAGGTATTTTTTGGGTGAGATTAACATTTAAATCAGTGGACTTTTAAGCAAATTACACTCCATAATTTCGGTGGGCCTTATCTAATCAGTTTAAGGCCTTAATAGAAAAAAGTTGATTTTCCCTCACTTTGGGAGAACAAGATGGATGGATCACTTGAGGTCAGAAGTTCAAGACCAGCCTGGCCCACATGGTAAAACCCCATCTGCACTTTTTTTTCTTTTCTTTTTTTTTTGCCCTGGTTCTTGCTGACTGTCTGTATTTTTAAAACTGCAAAAATTAGCCAGGCATGGTGGCAGGCACCTGTAATCCTAGGTACTCAGGAGACTGAGGCAGGAGAATTGCTTGAACCCGGGAGGTAGAGGTTGCAGTGAGCCGAGATTGCACCACTACACTCCAGCCTGGGCCACAGAGCGAGACTCAATCTCAAAAACAAACAAACAAACAAACAAAACAAAAAACAAAAAAAACCTGACTTCCCCTAAGCAAGAAGAAATTCTGCCAGTGGAATGTCTGTGCATCCAAAGTGAAACTCTTCCCTGGGTTTCCTGCCAACTCTTCCCTGGGTTTCCTGCAACTCTTCCCTCGGTAGCCTGCCAACCTACCCTGATGGGACTTACTGAGCCTTCACAACTGCATGAGCCAATTCCTGAATAAAAATATCTTGCAGAGAGAGAGACATACAGACACACACCCTGACAATAAAATAGGTATTGCTCCCAACTTTACCAATGAGAAAAACGATGGCCTGCCAGGACTCATTCTCCCTTTCTACTACATCACACACTAAAATGTGTGACTTGGGACTCACCTTCTAGCCTGAGGGGCTCGGGTGGGAGGTACAAGGTAATAAGCGTGCAACATTGTAACCATAAGCCACACTCTCAAGGGAGCCCCTTATGACACTGATACCACACATACCACACATGTACCCAGAGCCTCGATGTGCCCAAGTGATGTACTATCCTTTCTCTGGTCTACTAACAGTTATTTCAGCTAAACATAAAACAAATATTCATACCTAAATCAGTATTTGAAGACTTTGAAAAGGAATAAAAAAGAATTAAAGAATTAAAGTAAATGATAAGAAGAAAAATAAAATGATTTGTGACAATTAAATGATGGTAGCCTTTGCTTTGCTTAGGTTCTTTTTGGATAATCTTGCATTCACCCTCAACAACTATTTATTTTGTGCTTTGTATTTTTTTATAGGCTCTTCTAGATATTGTAGGGTACTAACTAGCTGGAGGGACATATAAAATATAGTAAATGTGCAGGATGAAAAAAAACCAACTAAATTGCCTTAAAGAAGTCAAGGATTCACAGAAAAGGTGACATTTCTGCTGGAAGAGAAGTATGAGTTTAAATAGTGGAGAAGAGGGATGGCATTCCAGACAGAATTTCTGACACAGTGTAAGTCACTTGAGTCTGTTAGGTTGCTTAAAGTACAAGCTGGGATGGGGGGTTATGGCAGAATATAAAGTTGGAACAACCAGCTAGGGTTACATAGTAAGGAACAATGAATTCCCATGCCAAGGAGTTTGAGCTTTATCCTGCAATCAGACTTATGAAGGAATTTCTAAGCAGGGGAGGGACAAGGCCATGGGCTAAGCCTTTTTAGAGACGATTCCATAAAACCACATCCTTTACATACATAGGACAGCTAGGTCCAGCTTGGTCACTGGGGCAGATTTAACCATAGATAAATAATTATAAAGTTTGATAAAAATTAAACTTTCAATAAAAACTAAGCCTTACAGTCTTAATAATAGGTTTATTATTAGAAGGCATCAAAGTATTTCATGTGCTCTAACTAAAAAAATAAACTTTAGTTTACGCATAGTCCCAACTAAAAATCAATGCTTCAGAAATTGGCAACTAGTATAATTATAATTATGCAATAAATACATATGTAAAAGTTCTCCTCAGAAAATGAAATAAAACTCAATTGGAATTGATGTAAGAAAAATTATGTTATTAAATACCTACATGGAATCTGTATCCTAAAATATAAATTAAATATAAGCCAGTGGGCAAAAGGTGGCTGAGTAAAGCTGGATTTTGCAAATGATCAAAAATGGAAAAAGAAACATTGTATTTCTTTTTTTTTTTTTTTTTTTTGAGACGGAGTTTCGCTCTTGTTACCCAGGCTGGAGTGCAATGGTGCGATCTCGGCTCACCGCAACCTCCGCCTCCTGGGTTCAGGCAATTCTCCTGTCTCAGCCTCCTGAGTAGCTGGGATTACAGGCATGCACCACCATACCCAGCTAACTTTTTGTATTTTTAGTAGAGACGGGGTTTCACCATGTTGACCAGGATGGTCTCGATCTCTTGACCTCGTGATCCACCCACCTCGGCCTCCCAAAGTGCTGGGATTACAGGCTTGAGCCACCGCGCCCGGCCCAGAAACACTGTATTTCTAAAGAATACAGTGGCCAAGAAAGGAATCTACAATAAAGGAATATAAATTAGGAACTAAAGTACTAACAAATCATTCATTCCCTTCCACCCTTTCATCCTTTCACTCTCCTTTTCTGCTGATAGTTCTCTTTTTCATCAATCCCATTGGGATTTTAGAGATTTTCCATTCCAATAGCCTCCCCCTGGTTTTACTTTAGGAATTGAACTCTGCAAATAGTTGTATATAAAATCCCAGCATACAAAACAGATAAAAGCATAGAGAGCCACTTGAAAGCGGTCAAGGAGAGAGGGGGTACTGGAGCACCTAATTTGGCCTTCACTTCAGCCTTCATCCACTTTCCCTCTGAAACAGCTCTCCAAAGAGCCCTTAATTTTCCTCAGTAAAGTGTAAAACACATTGGTCCTTGTCCCAACCTTCCTAATTTACAAATGAGGGAATTATGCCCTAGAGAATTAATTTAAGGGAGTTCCCTGGGGCGGGGGAGTGGGGACTATTTCCTGGTACCTCTGCTAAAATTAAAATGTTTCCTCTTCCTCATAAACTTGAACTCAAATATCTGGGTTAAAAATTGTTTCTTAGCCAGACACACTGGCACACGATTGCAATCTCAGCACTTTGGAAGGCCAAGGCAGAGGGATCACTTGAGCCCAGCAGTTCAAGACCAGCCTAGGCAACATGGTAAAACCCTGTCTCTATTTTTTTTTTTTTTAATTTTTTAATTCAATTTTTTCTAAGTTATTCTGGAAGTCTATGACATCCCTCTACCACAAATTCCCATCCAAAATTCACATAAGTACTGGGCTCGGTGGCTCAGCCTGTAATCCCAACACTTTGGGAGGCTAACACAGAGGGATTATTGAGCCCACAAGTTCAAGACTGGCCTGGGCCACATAGTAAGACCTTGTCTCTACACAATCAACAACCACAAAAATTCACATAGGTCTTTAACCACATATTATATGAGTGCCTATTTGAGGCCAGATACTCTGCTAGGAACAGGTTATCTGCTCCCATTTAACCATCACCAGAAACCCCAAGAGATCAAGAAATTAAGCTCAGAGAAGTACTGTAACCTGCCCAAGGTCACAGAGCTAGCAAGGTGGAATCTGGTTCTGACTTACTCCTAAAGCCAAGCTTCAGACCCTTGTACTCTTTCTAATCCCAGCGTTTTCCAAATATTTTCCGATTTTTACACAGACTTTCAGAAATGCAGAACTGTCAGAATTTCTTGTCATTTTACAGAGGATGTACTTTTGCATCCAACCCTGTGGGGGAACCCTCATGCTGCAGCCAAGCACAAAGGCATCAAGCCTATTTCAACCTCTAAACTCAAGACCATAGAAAGGCTAATCCCCGCCCCCACCACAAACTCCTACCACTCCTTTTACAAG